ATATTTAAAAATATTTTCTCTCTCATATATAAACTATCAATCTACTCATAAAAAATTACAAAAAATATAAAATTAAAAAAAATTAATTAGCATATCATTTTTTATGCACAGTGACTTGTAATCAAGAGTATTAATTCCAATTAAAAGTAATTTATATATGACATGCGAGGAAATATTTATTTATTTAACTTTCTCTTTATATTTCCATACCATTGGAATGGGGCCCTCCCTTCATCTGCATCATCACGATGAAATTCACCAACTCTTCTGATTTACACTTGCACCAAACAAACACCACTAGGGAGAAGCACTTAGCGAGGAACAAAAGTAATTATCTCTTATTATTTTTCATTTTGATTTTATTTTATAATTAAAATGATCCTATTTAAGAAATGAAATATTTAAAAAAATATTTTAAACACTTATCTTAAAATTTCAAACCATTATGATTATTATTTTCTCACGATTTAATAATATATTATTAGAATTTCATAATAAATATTTCAAAATTTAATAACGACTAGAATCTTAAAAATAATTAAGGTCTTAACATTTTTAGTCTTTATAAACAAATTTTAATTTTAATTTTTTTTATAATCTCATATAAAAAAATTAGGCAATTGTACCCAAGCAATCAATATTGTGACCAGGAATCCAAGTTCGTGTAGTTATGGCGCCGTAGATTAAAACTGGTCCATATGGTGTGCCGAAAAAATTAATCAAAGTGGCCCTAAAGCACATGCTCACAAACATCGTTATGGGCTCAAGCAAGTTGGGCTATGAGTTTTATCTTGGTCTTTTAATGAAATTTAGTAAAGATAAATAATACAAAATAAGAATAAACCATGCCACCTTTTAATGAAATTTCTTTGTTGATCAAATTAAAGTTTTAATATCTTGCAAAACCATTCCTTGGGTTGCATTATGCTCTTGTATTTTCAATTTTTTTTTTTCAGATTCACATTGTTAATTGATAATTACAGATTCTTGAGAGAACATAAATAACGCAGCCACTAACGGGAAAAAATGAATAGAACACAAGATTTGCTATGGTGCCATCTTCATGTTCCACTTTGCTCATGTGGCTTTCCCCATCCATCGTCACCTTATTTATTCCACGTCATCATTCAATAATGCTGTTTTCACATCTGAAATCTATAGGGATGAACTCTCTCAAAGAAAATATGTCACGCCCCAAAAATAGAGATGACTGGCACAGGATGTGAACCACATCATACATCTCGTAAGTCACAAATTCAAGGTTTATTTCATTTAATTAAAATGTACTCAATTTTATACTGACATTTTAATACTATTGATACTATTCATTAGAATAATTAAAATGTACTCAATTTTATATTGACATTTTAATTCTTAAAAGTATTTCATTTAATTAGAATAATATTTTTTAAAAATTTTGACAAAACCTCTTCTGTAAATAAAATCTCTCTAAAATTTTGTATCACAAAAATTTTCCTTAAACATTATTTCAACATTATATCACAAAATGTATAATAAATTAAGAACTCTAATTATAAGTTATGTGGAGCACCTAATCATATATCTCATGACATAATACATAAATTTCACCTTCACATCCATAAGACATATTTATAGAACAAGCCTCCATCCTGTTCCACAAACACCCATCCTTAGTAAGCAAGACATATAGTGTCAGTTATGCTATCTGAGACAAAAATAATTTTTTAGTGAATAACGCCCCAACAATAAATAAAATGAAAAGTTTGAAATAGTTATGTAAGTTAAAGATACAACAATTTCCGTAAAAATTTAACAAACTTATAATAAAATGACTCTATAAAATTTCAAATAAAATATCAAATCATTGAACTCTCATAGCAAATGATAATTGCACTTGATTTTAAGAAAGCACATAAATGAAATAAATATTTATAAACAAATTACTAAATAAAAACCAATAGAATATGAAATCATTAAATGGTTGGATTCATAATTATAGGAACTTATCAAACAATTAACAAACGTGGACACACAGTCTACGAGGATAACTAACTAAACGCGACTTATGCCACGAAAACAAACGTGGACACACAGTCCATGAAGATATGTAACCAAATGTAGCCGAAGCCACGAAACAAATGTGGATACACAATCCACGAAGGTAATGCTAACCAAACGCGACTTGAAGCCACGAAATCAAATGCGGGTACAAAGCCCACGAATAACCATCCCTCCATTCCACGTGCGTTGGCCATCGCACGGGGCTAGCACCTTCTGTAAACACCCTGCTAGCTAGGTGTACCATGAGACGCCAAGGGCTAACGGAATTGTCGTTAGGAACCAGTGTTCTATATAAAGTTCCTTTTTAAAACAATTTTCAAACATGAGAGAAAATCATCATTTTCAAGATACAGTTCTCATTCTCAAAATCAAATTTGCATGAATACTTTTAAGCTTTAAAACTTACCAGAATCAAATTTCATATCCAATGCTCATGCTTGCATTTATTGAATAAAAAAATTTTCAACTTTGAATTCACATGAATCATTCTCTGTATATATCCAATATTTGATAGAATAAAAATCTCACAATCAAAGTTCAAACTTGATTTAATTGATCAAATAGCATTTAAAATTTTGGTAAAGTTAATTTCTCAAAATAAAGTAATGTTAATCAACAAATATTCAATAATCACATTAATGCTATAAAAATAATTTCCAAAAAAATATAATATTTTAGTAAATGAAATTTTGATTAAAAAGAATCAGTTGGGACGCTATCCACTTACCTGAAGTGTGCCCAAGTACTAAAATTAACTTCTTAGAACCCAATCAAAACCTTCCTTCCATTAAATGCCCTATCTAATATAAAAAAAAAAACTTCAATGGCATAAGTTTGATAAACTCTTTCCAACTCTTATCAAGTGCAAGCAACAAAACTTAATTAATATTATATACACACATAGCATAATTAATCACTCTAAATTCCAAGTTTCCTGTCACCTTTTCTATCAAGCAACTCAAAGGCATTCCTAAATCAAATTTTTAAACATTATCATTTATAATATCATCCATACAATTTCATAGAATGTAACTTGTCTCAGCACAGTTTTATACTCAAAATTTTTCATACCATTCAAGTTAAATTCATGAACAATTAATACCCAAACTAAATATGTATCCATAAGAGTTAATGAAATTTCAAAAAAATCATATCCAACCACAACTCAGCATTCCACTAAAATACAATCTCCTAATAAATTTTTTGTCATAATTCCAAAACTACATTATTGCCAATATTCCACAATAAAGCTTCTTTTCCTTTTTATTATTATTTTTTATTTAACATTCATGTCTCTTATCACATAGTTCATCAACAACCATTTATTTCCATGATTTCAAAATTGCCCGAACAAATGTCATGCTCAAATTGCCTTTACAATCTTCATTGTAAGTTTATAGAGTAATAGCACTCAAATTAAACATACTAATTGCAATGATCAATAAAATCCAAGTAAAGTTTTCTCATCATTATGTCAAACACCTTCTATAAACTAATTCTTAAGCCTAAACCAAACTTCTTACTCTTTGACTTCATTTTCCAAAGATTTTCAATATAAACATTTAAATCAAACAACCTCCCAAATCCCATATCCTCCAACATTAAAATTTCATTTTGAATCAACTTCTCACCCTTAATCAAAAATTCACAATAGCAAAAAAACTAAAGCTTCATCACTTCAGTCCTAAGATACACGCACGCACACACAGAGAAATGATAAGAGAAAAGTAGACTCAAAATCTCTTTACCTCCATTCATACTGGCAGGCACAGGGAGGAAGGGATGAAGGCAAATATAGGGAGAAAAATGACAACCATCAAAACAGACCTCCTACAGGCACTTGAATTTAGGAGGCCGTAAACAAGGAGAAGTTTTTAGACTCCCCTCAACCAAATCAGAGACGGGAAGCATAAAAGGAGGAGGAAAAAATGAACAGTGGCACACAAAAACAACTAACCATGAGGACTAGAGAAAGAAAAGCCCACTGTAGGACTTCGCATCAGCAGCGAACGAAGCTATCGCAACTATCAACAATGACGATCTAGCAGGTTGATCGATCCGTGATGCGAAACAGGGGAGATAATGAAGAACTCCAGCGTTCCCAAGTAGCAAAACAACAGAGGAAGGAAAGGAAGGCTTCTCGTTCACGGTAGCTGGCGTCAACCAGTGGGGGAATGGAGGAGGTAAATCAGAGGAGCTGAGGGCATGCTAGTTGGTTCTAGAGCTTTTGAAGAAAACAAAAAAAATGGGAATGGAAGAAACCGACCGTGCTTTTGTCTCTGTCTCTCTATTTTGGTTTTTTTTAATTACTGAGGAGTAAACTTGTAATTTCACCCAAATACTGGAGCAAAATTAAATAAAACTTTTCTTTTGTACAAGACGGATTCGAACTGAGAACCTGAAGAGTTAATTGACAGCACAACTACCACTAGATCAACAATCCTTCTTGTCTAAATATTTCCCACATTAATACAAATACAATTAAAATTCATTATTATATATTTTAAATTTTACTTAAAATTTCTAGGTATTACAAAATAAGTCTTGGAGGAGCAAATCAAAAAGGAAAAAAAAACAAAGAATGACAAGTACAGACTTTATAAGAATATTAATATTAAATTAAAAATTTTAGTATCAAAACATGATACAAGAAGTATTGAAATTTGAGAACATTAGTATTGAAAAATTTTAATTTGACAATTAATATTTTTACAAGATCCTAACTTATTATTCTCCAAAAAAAAAAAAACCTCGAAGGACCAAATTAAAAACTAAGGGAAATTATAGGAAACTCTAATAGCATTATATATGCACTAAATACTGTTCCTTTTTTAATAATAAAAAATCTGATTCAACCTAAAAGCATTAAGTTATATATTATCTCTTGTTTATTAAAAACATTTTTTTTTCTTACTGCTAAAAAAAGAGAAAGAAATATGCGTCTTTTTTTTAAAAAAAAACACATATACAGTTTGCATGCAGCAGAAATCAAACTATATATATTACATATGGCTAAGGTTCAAGTTGACAAAATAGACTTCATTGGTAATGCCTTCGGTAACTCCACTTCCTCGTCAGGAGACTTACTGAATGATGCACGACAGGACCCTACATAATATTCAAATTAAAAATTAATACAACTCCAAAATATAGATCAAATGTATAAAATCTAAGGCGTGTCTTCTTTGTCATATTTATTTTATGATATAAATATTTATATTTAGGATAGAAGATATAACACTAGAATATTATATGAATAGGGGAATATCAAAGAATTCAAAAGAGAAAAAAAGCTCAAATAATTAAAATATAAATCAGAAGTTTGTTTCACTCACACCACAATGCCAATTTTCAATGAAAACGGTTCATCTCGAGGACCACCATCTCAAGCTTGTCTTGCATGCGATATAAGAATCTAAAGTAAGAATGCCTGAAATTCTTGTTGAAGAAAATGGCAATACAAACTCCCCAGAAAGCTGTGGCAAATCCAACTCCAATGCCGATGTAGAAGCAAGATAGAAATTCATCTTCTTGTCCATCACTCGTTTCAACGGGTTCCGCGTGATCTTCTTTGTCTGAGCAGTTCTTTGGAAGTGGCGCTCCACATAATCGAGGATCCCCCATGAAACTTTGTGAATCAAACCCTTGAAATTGAGTTCCTGTTGGGATCTTACCAGTGAAACTGTTGAAGGAAAGGTTCAGGACTTCTAGAAAAGACAATTCAGCCATATCTTGAGGAATTTCACCTGAAAATTGATTGCTTGCGAGATCAAGAGATTCCAACGTTTTCATGTTCCTTATCTCATTTGGCATGTTTCCCTCAAATTGATTATGGGACAAGTTTAAATGTTGCAATCCGGTGAGACTAAATATCTCTGGAGGTATTTTTCCGGACATATTATTCCTTGATAGATCAACAGAATGCAATAATTTCGAGTTTTCAACATATCTTGATGCCCGGCCTTTTATATGCACCACAACATACCCTCGCATTTCGTAAGTGAAATCTCGAATTCTAACAAAGAAGTAGTGAACCCCATTATAGGAATTAGGGAAAGTCATGGCTGTCATATTTTGTAGACAAGCAGGTAATGAACCTGATATTTTATTGTCTGCAAAATCCAATATTGTAAGGGAAGCCAATTGGCATGTTTGGAGAGGTACATTTCCACTGAGTTGATTGGATCTCAGTCGAAGAATCTTTGCAGTTCGCATTCTCCAGTCCGGTAAGAATCCAGATAATTTATTTTCTCCTACATCAAGGATTTCCAGTTTCTGACAATTTTTTAGTGACAAAGGTATCCCTCCAGATAAATTGTTTTTATTGAGAAGCAAAACTTTAAGGTTAGAAAGCAAACTAACTGATGGGGGGATTTTGCCAGTTAGTTTATTTCCTCCTAGACTAACAAAAACTAATGATTTCCAATGCATCCAACAATTGGTTAACCCTCCTGACAGAAGATTATAAGACATGTCCAAAAGCTGTAATTGGCTTCTCCCATTCATCTTTTGACACAATAATGAAGAAATAAATCCTTGGAAAGAGTTGTTCTTGACATCGAGTGTCACAACATTTGGTGATAATTGAGGGAGTTGGCCTTTGATTTTTTTGATCTCATAGTTATGAATGTGGAGTTTAGTAAAACGTTCGACATCTCCCCATGAATTGTATTTTCTTCTAGGCGTAAGTATGGAACTCGTGCTACAAAGTCCCAAAACTCATCATGAGGTTCAAATGAAATTATTGAGCAGGCAATTACTAACCTCTTAAGGGATGTTTGTTTATAGATCCACGCAAGAAGTTTAGAGTCCATCATGTATTCCAAATGAAGAAAATCAAGTTGATAAGGCGGAACCCATAGCAAATCAAAGTCAAGGATTAAGCCTGGTGAGCCAATGAAAAGTCGTTCTAGATTTGAGAGTTTGAACAAAAAAAAAAAAAAAATTCAGTCACATACCCTGTTATTAATTGATTATAACCGAGATCTAATTCCTCCAAGTTCGAGAGTTGTCCAAGACTTTCTGGGAGACTACCATTTAAGTGATTTGAGCCGACGTCCAACATAATCAATGATGACATATTTCCAAGAGTGGAAGGAATTGGACCAGAAAAGGAATTTCCCCAATACTGAGGAGTTGTAGACGCTCAAGTTGGCCTAACCAATCTGGAATTGGTTCACTTAGTTCATTTTCAGACAATGAAAACTTTTGCACATTTCGAAGGTTTAATAAACTCTTTGGGAGTTGGCCTTGAAAGTAATTATGACTCAGGTCAATGGTAACAACATCACTGAGATTGAATAACCAGTCAGGAATGAATTCAGAGCTAAAATCATTATGAGAAAGGCCAAGAACTTCAATTGAGGTAAAATTGACATATTTAAGACATGGATTAATGTTTCTAAGTTGACACATCTCCAAGTACAACTTAGTAAGGAAAGGAAGCAGTGTTGCCAGTTGAATCCAATCAACTGTGCCTTGAAGGTTTATACCACCCAAGTGAACATTTTTCAAGGAGGGAACACGAGAAAGCCAACGAAAATTATCAATGTGAAGATCATCATTAAATGATAAATCAAGATGATGAAGATTGGAAGAATTTTCACATGACAGATCACGATGATTACAATTTGTGATATCCACGTAATCATCTTGGGCCAAAGCACGGAAGTTATTATCAGACAAATCCAAGTAATTTAGAAACTCAAGATGAAGCAAAGACGGGGGGAATTCACCTGTGAGGCAGTGTGATCTGGTCTCCCCACAATCATCAGCAAATGGTTCTAGAGGACAAGGGAGACTGAGCTGGATGACTCTACCAGTGGTGTTGTCACACTGAACTCCACTCACAGAAATCTCGCTCATTGGACCAAGTAGAGAGGAAAGCAGAAGGATCAACAACGGTGTGCTTGAAGTTTAGGAGAAGATGAAGATCTCTTTCATTGCATTGCATCCTCAAACTGCACATGCTTTGGGGGAGTATGAGTGCAGAAATTAGCAAGCATAGCAATAAGATGTTAGCAATAGAGGAGGAGGGGAATGAGGTTTCCATGATCACTCAAAGATATGGTCTGATGGAAAGGGATTGTCACAAGTGACACCCATTTATATGACAATTTGATTACTACTGACAATTTGATCACTCAAGGAAAAAAAAGGAAAAATATGAATTTTGATAATTTTAATATTTATAATTTTATTTTTTACAAAATAGGGACCAATATTTTAAATGGTTAAAACTGTAAAGATTAAGTTACAAGAGCCAAAATTGAGAAACCAAGTTACGACCGAATTAAAATTATTAAGATTGATGACAGTAAGTTAAAGTTTAGGGACTACATTACAATCAAGTTAAAACTACAATGAGTAAATAATTAATTTTTCCTAACTTTAATCCAAGAGACACTACATGAAACTAATGGTATAATTTATCATATTAATAAATAAGAATACTATTAAATAAATTTGCATATTTAAATAATATATTTATTAATATATGTATGTGTGCTTAAATATTATATATTTAATTTCTTAATTAAAAACGGGAATATGGGATATCCCTTTCACTTCAGCTAACAATAAATTTTCCATCACTAAGGTCACATTCTGTTACTCATTTTAAAGATATGTTATTCCATCATTAAGGTCACAAAAAAAAATTATCACAAATTCAGCCGCTGATTGTTTTTTGTGATGGAATTATCCATATTTAGCAATGGAAATTTTCATCACCTATCCACTTATAAATTTTCCATATATAAATGGATTATGGCGTCAAGCTGTCAACGACAATCCATATGAAGTGATGCTTAGAACAGGCATTTGTGAACGTTAATTCAAGTGTCCATGGCATCCTATTTAGTGCCCGTTTGGTTAGACAAAATAATCAATTATTTTATTGTTAAAATTGATTAACCAAAAATATATCCAAACACGTAAAAATCATGTAATCAATTTTATTAGTTAAAATCGATTTTTTTCAGAAGTTGGCAATTGGAGCGTCCGTGATAATCCATCAAAAGCATTGGAGAAAATTACAAACAAAGACCCAAGAAAAAATTATAAAAAAATCCCAAAATTTAATAAAAATAAAACCAATAATATATTTTACTTCTTAAATAAATGTAACAACTTTAATACTATATACAAATTTATTAATAATTTAATTTTAAAAAGCAATTTCCTTTATGATAATTTAAACAGTTAAAATTTATTCTAAAAAAATTATTCAAACATCTTCAATTCTGTTAAAATCAATTTTAGAAAAATAACCTCCAAACAGATTGCGTTCTAACATAATCAATTATGATTAAAATCTTCCACTTAATCAATTATTTTCATAATCTATTATGCTCAACTGAAATCCAAACGGACCCTTATTCTTTGTGAGACTTTTCATTGTGCCGAATATTTTCAGACAAAAACAAATGTATTGTCTATTTAGATTGAAATGAAGAATTATCTTGTGGAAACAATGACCGGAAAAGCATACATGGAGAATAAGCCCATTTATTCTCTGTGAAAACATTGAGCTTTGAGCGTGCCAGATTTTTTGAAGGGGGAAACAAATATTTTGATTATATGAAATCAAAAGTCCATGTTTAAAGACTGCACCAATGCCAAGTGATTAAATGTGTTGATTATCTCATTAATTACAATCCTTGAATCAAACTTTTTTTTTTTGGCCAACCTCCTTGAATCAAACATAAAGAATTAGAATAGCTGGTTTGGAGCTGTAGTGACATTGAGTCATGACAGCACTCCCCTTCAGTTTCGGCAGTTCTGTTTCATAACTCCCTTAATAAATATTTTGAAAAAATTAATCATTTAGTCCTAATAGTTTTGATCTAATTATAACTTAATTTTTAAATTTTAACTCATTATAATTCAGTTTCTGAAATTTTGATAGAAGAATGAGAAAAATAAATACAATTGACAGTCAAATTTAGAGACGTCCAAGTTTCAAAGCTCCTTTCACAACATTAATATATATGGGACCTTCCCTCCTGCTACTATGCCTCTTCATACATAACAAAAGAGAACAGCATTAAAAAGAAGATTATAAAACATTAAAATTCACACCTACATATCATTTTCTACATTGTTAATTTCATTATATATACGATGCCATGTCTCGTAAAAGATGCCTCACAGCTAGACAACCCTCTGTCACTTCCCTCTATTGTCAACAAAACTTGGGCTTTCTTCTTTTCAAAATGCCAACACGCTACAATGGACAAAGATGCCCCATTCAAATTACCCAAACCTCTGACCCCACCACTACAAACACAAACATCATGTCCTTTCTTTTCTTTCTGAGATCTCTCGAGTTTTTAACTCTATTAGCTTCACAGTTGGTGATATTCACCATATGCCCAATTGGATATTTTTATATTTTTTAAATGTAAATAAGAGCATATAAAATACCTTAAAGAGAGATGGGGATGATAAGAGTCACATGGACATTAAGACTACGTTTGGAATGAGATATTGAGAGGTTGCGATTGGGATTGATATTGAAAAAATCTACAAATACATTGTTTGGTATGATGGATTTTTTAATCCTTGGGTCTGATGAAAGTTATGTAGATGGGATTAATGAAACTTATGGGGGAGGTGGTATTAAAAATTTAAACATGGGATTAAATTTTTTTAGACGAAAATACCCTCCATTTTTTGTAATCGTCTGGCCTTCTACCTTTGTCTTCTCCGATCTCACAGCCAACAGCCAACACGAACACCTTCTCCTTCTCCGATCTCACAACCACAGCCTCTAGATCTTGCAACTGTTGTTGCATTCTCCTTCTCAGATCTTACAATCGCTAACCTCTGGATCTTGCAACCATCACTGCCTTCTCCTTCGCCGATCTCGCAATCACTTTTGTCTCCTTCTCTCACAAGTCCAAAGTCGATCTCCCTCTCTCAAAAGATGCACAGTTGCAAAGGGATGGAGAAGATGAGCCTTGTGCTACCATGGTTTTCGGGAGAAGGTGTTCTAATATTTTTTTTAATTTTAAAGATAATATAGTCTTTTCATACTTTATATTTAATTGTAAAATAAAATAAAAATAATTATTCTCTATAAGTATTATCTCATACCAAACATAATTTTAAAGTCTCATTTTCATTGTCAATCCTACTACCAATCCCAATACCAATTCTAATACCAATCACTTTAAATTGAGGCTTGCATACCAAAAAAGGCATAAGAATCCAGTTTAGAAACTACACAGCACAACCCAACTTACACAAGGAGCCAATTAAAAAAAAAAAAAAAAACTCATCAAAATTGGAGTGTAACACTGAATCCTACCCTCCATAACACCTGACTGAGTTTTCATTGGCTCACTCTAGTTCTTGGTGCTTAACCATGCGACCCCTGTCTCTTCATTTTCTTTACTTGTCCCTTCATATAATTAAACCTAATTTAAAAGTCTTCATCTGCACACTGACTCTACCTAGTCATCTCTAGCCACTTGCAGAGAAACAATGGCTTCTCGTGTCTCTCCAGTTGGCCACTACCTTTGCTTCATGGAAGGTTGCCTCTTTTTTACCTTTGGTTGGAACTGTGAGAGGTACACTTGGCACTGTATAACAGTCTTAACAATCTTGGTATTACTGTGAAAGCCACTTGTGGGTATGATTCCACCGTCTGGTCCGACCCCGATGAGACGAAAATTTCTTCATTTACACTTTCCATGTACACATCAGAGAACCTGCATCCCTTCCTCAGTTGAAAGATTGAAGCTTGTGGCTCGAAAGAGAAGGCCAGGCAATGCAAGTGCCATACCCTCGAAAAAGAACCTGCTGCTGGGAAATTCTCCTGCATTCAGAAGGTTTCTGTGGTTCAGATCACCGAATATCGATGATTCCATCTTCGGGTGAATAAGTCGCAAGTACTTGACCCGACAAAACTTTGCAAATGGAGATCTTGGTTTCTCGGCGAGATATTATTTTGCTTTAATGGATTTCAGTTCGTTGAATCTCAGGAAGAACAATCGACGTAGATTTTTTCTATCCCTTGAGGTGAACCTGAGACTCTAACTTCTTCCCCACGATGCCATAAGTCTTAAATAACACTATGAAGCTCCTTTAATTCAGCCTCCAGTATAGCTTCCTCTGAATGTGATTCTACTATGGTTACTATTCCATGTAATCATTCTCCCAAAAGGCATGCTTGGTTTGAGAGTGCATTGTAATGAAAAAGACCACCAACTTCTCCTACACATCACAGTGTGGTTGATCCATCTCACAACCTCTCTGGTTGGTCTGATGAGCGAGATTGCTGTGAATGGATTGGAGTTCATTGTGACAACACCACTGGTAGAGTCATTGAGCTTAGTCTCTCTTGTCCTCAAGAATTCTCTGCTGGTACTTGTGAACAAGACAAATCACACTGTCTCACAGGTGCACTTCCCGTATCTTTTTTTCAACTTGAGTTTCTCAATTACTTGGATTTGTCCCAAAATAACTTCCATGCTTTGGCCAAAGATGATCATGTGGATATCACAAATTGTAGTCATCGCCGTCTCTCATGTGAAAATTCCTCCAATCTTTATCTTCTTGATTTATCATTTAATGTGGATCTTTGCATTGATAATCTTTATTGGCTTTCTCGTGTTCCCTCCTTGAAATAGGTTCACTTGGATGCTATTAATCTTCAAGGCAAGTGGATTGGATTCATTTGGCAACTATGCTTCCTTTACTTGCAAAG